ACAGGACCAATCTACAGAGGACACTTTCACTCAAGTCATGACAAAAAGCCACGAGCACACTGACACCGTGTGTCTGTCATATACATAGATGCATGTATATATGCAGGAAGCAGACTTGCAAGCATGCATCCATGCATGCATGCATGAATGCATAGATGACACATGTGGATATTGTCAACAACAGCATCGAAGGCTGTCATACAGTGGGAGTCAGTCAGTCTCCTCCTCCAACATGACAATCTCAATGATATCCACAAGGCGGTGAAGCTTTCACATTTCCACAGACGACGCACAACAACCCACCGAAACTCACACAGACTTCATCTCAATCTGACGAGTGTGGAGACAGCCGACTGGACACAAGATGGAGAAGACTAGCAGATGTCGGCTTACATGACTATTTACTGCAAGAGAGCTTCAAGATACAGCTCGAAGCCACACTCACAAAGTGAAGGACCAATCTACAGAGGACACTTTCACTCAAGTCATGACAAAAAGCCACGAGCACACTGACACCGTGTGTCTGTCATATACATAGATGCATGTATATATGCAGGAAGCAGACTTGCAAGCATGCATCCATGCATGCATGCATGAATGCATAGATGACACAGGTGGATATTGTCAACAACAGCATCGAAGGCTGTCATACAGTGGGAGTCAGTCAGTCTCCTCCTCCAACATGACAATCTCAATGATATCCACAAGGCGGTGAAGCTTTCACATTTCCACAGACGACGCACAACAACCCACCGAAACTCACACAGACTTCATCTCAATCTGACGAGTGTGGAGACAGCCGACTGGACACAAGATGGAGAAGACTAGCAGATGTCGGCTTACATGACTATTTACTGCAAGAAAGATTCAAGATTCAGCTCGAAGCCACACTCACAAAGTGAAGGACCAATCTACAGAGGACACTTTCACTCAAGTCATGACAAAAAGCCACGAGCACACTGACACCGTGTGTCTGTCATATACATAGATGCATGTATATATGCAGGAAGCAGACTTGCAAGCATGCATCCATGCATGCATGCATGAATGCATAGATGACACAGGTGGATATTGTCAACAACAGCATCGAAGGCTGTCATACAGTGGGAGTCAGTCAGTTTCCTCCTCCAACATGACAATCTCAATGATATCCACAAGGCGGTGAAGCTTTCACATTTCCACAGACGACGCACAACAACCCACCGAAACTCACACAGACTTCATCTCAATCTGACGAGTGTGGAGACAGCCGACTGGACACAAGATGGAGAAGACTAGCAGATGTCGGCTTACATGACTATTTACTGCAAGAGAGCTTCAAGATACAGCTCGAAGCCACACTCACAAAGTGAAGGACCAATCTACAGAGGACACTTTCACTCAAGTCATGACAAAAAGCCACGAGCACACTGACACCGTGTGTCTGTCATATACATAGATGCATGTATATATGCAGGAAGCAGACTTGCAAGCATGCATGCAAGCATGAATGCATAGATGACACATGTGGATATTGTCAACAACAGCATCGAAGGCTGTCATACAGTGGGAGTCAGTCAGTTTCCTCCTCCAACATGACAATCTCAATGATATCCAAAAGGAGGTGGAGCTTTCACATTTCCACAGACGACGCACAACAACCCACCGAAACTCACACAGACTTCATCTCAATCTGACGAGTGTGGAGACAGCCGACTGGACACAAGATGGAGAAGACTAGCAGATGTCGGCTTACATGACTATTTACTGCAAGAGAGCTTCAAGATACAGCTCGAAGCCACACTCACAAAGTGAAGGACCAATCTACAGAGGACACTTTCACTCAAGTCATGACAAAAAGCCACGAGCACACTGACACCGTGTGTCTGTCATATACATAGATGCATGTATATATGCAGGAAGCAGACTTGCAAGCATGCATCCATGCATGCATGCATGAATGCATAGATGACACAGGTGGATATTGTCAACAACAGCATCGAAGGCTGTCATACAGTGGGAGTCAGTCAGTCTCCTCCTCCAACATGACAATCTCAATGATATCCACAAGGCGGTGAAGCTTTCACATTTCCACAGACGACGCACAACAACCCACCGAAACTCACACAGACTTCATCTCAATCTGACGAGTGTGGAGACAGCCGACTGGACACAAGATGGAGAAGACTAGCAGATGTCGGCTTACATGACTATTTACTGCAAGAGAGCTTCAAGATACAGCTCGAAGCCACACTCACAAAGTGAAGGACCAATCTACAGAGGACACTTTCACTCAAGTCATGACAAAAAGCCACGAGCACACTGACACCGTGTGTCTGTCATATACATAGATGCATGTATATATGCAGGAAGCAGACTTGCAAGCATGCATCCATGCATGCATGCATGAATGCATAGATGACACAGGTGGATATTGTCAACAACAGCATCGAAGGCTGTCATACAGTGGGAGTCAGTCAGTCTCCTCCTCCAACATGACAATCTCAATGATATCCACAAGGCGGTGAAGCTTTCACATTTCCACAGACGACGCACAACAACCCACCGAAACTCACACAGACTTCATCTCAATCTGACGAGTGTGGAGACAGCCGACTGGACACGAGATGGAGAAGACTAGCAGATGTCGGCTTACATGACTATTTACTGCAAGAGAGCTTCAAGATACAGCTCGAAGCCACACTCACAAAGTGAAGGACCAATCTACAGAGGACACTTTCACTCAAGTCATGACAAAAAGCCACGAGCACACTGACACCGTGTGTCTGTCATATACATAGATGCATGTATATATGCAGGAAGCAGACTTGCAAGCATGCATCCATGCATGCAAGCATGAATGCATAGATGACACATGTGGATATTGTCAACAACAGCATCGAAGGCTGTCATACAGTGGGAGTCAGTCAGTTTCCTCCTCCAACATGACAATCTCAATGATATCCAAAAGGAGGTGGAGCTTTCACATTTCCACAGACGACGCACAACAACCCACCGAAACTCACACAGACTTCATCTCAATCTGACGAGTGTGGAGACAGCCGACTGGACACAAGATGGAGAAGACTAGCAGATGTCGGCTTACATGACTATTTACTGCAAGAGAGCTTCAAGATACAGCTCGAAGCCACACTCACAAAGTGAAGGACCAATCTACAGAGGACACTTTCACTCAAGTCATGACAAAAAGCCACGAGCACACTGACACCGTGTGTCTGTCATATACATAGATGCATGTATATATGCAGGAAGCAGACTTGCAAGCATGCATCCATGCATGCATGCATGAATGCATAGATGACACAGGTGGATATTGTCAACAACAGCATCGAAGGCTGTCATACAGTGGGAGTCAGTCAGTCTCCTCCTCCAACATGACAATCTCAATGATATCCACAAGGCGGTGAAGCTTTCACATTTCCACAGACGACGCACAACAACCCACCGAAACTCACACAGACTTCATCTCAATCTGACGAGTGTGGAGACAGCCGACTGGACACAAGATGGAGAAGACTAGCAGATGTCGGCTTACATGACTATTTACTGCAAGAGAGCTTCAAGATACAGCTCGAAGCCACACTCACAAAGTGAAGGACCAATCTACAGAGGACACTTTCACTCAAGTCATGACAAAAAGCCACGAGCACACTGACACCGTGTGTCTGTCATATACATAGATGCATGTATATATGCAGGAAGCAGACTTGCAAGCATGCATCCATGCATGCATGCATGAATGCATAGATGACACAGGTGGATATTGTCAACAACAGCATCGAAGGCTGTCATACAGTGGGAGTCAGTCAGTCTCCTCCTCCAACATGACAATCTCAATGATATCCACAAGGCGGTGAAGCTTTCACATTTCCACAGACGACGCACAACAACCCACCGAAACTCACACAGACTTCATCTCAATCTGACGAGTGTGGAGACAGCCGACTGGACACAAGATGGAGAAGACTAGCAGATGTCGGCTTACATGACTATTTACTGCAAGAGAGCTTCAAGATACAGCTCGAAGCCACACTCACAAAGTGAAGGACCAATCTACAGAGGACACTTTCACTCAAGTCATGACAAAAAGCCACGAGCACACTGACACCGTGTGTCTGTCATATACATAGATGCATGTATATATGCAGGAAGCAGACTTGCAAGCATGCATCCATGCATGCATGCATGAATGCATAGATGACACAGGTGGATATTGTCAACAACAGCATCGAAGGCTGTCATACAGTGGGAGTCAGTCAGTCTCCTCCTCCAACATGACAATCTCAATGATATCCACAAGGCGGTGAAGCTTTCACATTTCCACAGACGACGCACAACAACCCACCGAAACTCACACAGACTTCATCTCAATCTGACGAGTGTGGAGACAACCGACTGGACACGAGATGGAGAAGACTAGCAGATGTCGGCTTACATGACTATTTACTGCAAGAGAGCTTCAAGATACAGCTCGAAGCCACACTCACAAAGTGAAGGACCAAT